TCTGTAACACTGTAAAACACGCTGAAGCACTCTGTAACACTGTAAAACACGCTGAAGCACGCTAAAACACGCTGAAACACGCTGAAGCACTCTGTAACACTGTAAAACACGCTGAAGCACGCTAAAACACGCTGAAACACGCTGAAGCACTCTGTAACACTGTAAAACATGCTGAAGCATGCTAAAACACGCTGAAACACGTTGAAGCACTCTGTAACACTGTAAAACACGCTGAAGCACGCTAAAACACACTGAAACACGCTGGAACCCTGTGAAACACGCTGAAGCACGCTTAAACCCGCTGAAGCACTCTGAAGCACTCTGGAACACTGTGAAACATGCTAAACACGCTAAACATGCTGAAGCACTCTGAAGCACTCTGTAACACTGTAAAACACGCTGAAGCACGCTAAAACACGCTGACACACGCTGACACACGCTGAAGCACTGTGTAACACTGTAAAACATGTTGAAGCACGCTAAAACATGCTGAAACATGCTGAAGCACTCTGTAACACTGTAAAACACGCTGAAGCACGCTAAAGCACACTGAAACACGCTGGAACCCTGTGAAACATGCTGAAGCACGCTTAAACCCGCTGAAGCACTCTGAAGCACTCTGGAACACTGTGAAACACCCTAAACACGCTGAAACATGCTGAAACTCACTGAAGCACACTGAAACATGCTGAAATACGCCGAAGCATGCTGAAACACGCTGAAGCACGCTTAAACCCGCTGAAGCACTCTGAAGCACTCTGGAACACTGTGAAACACCCTAAACACGCTGAAACATGCTGAAACATGCTGAAACTCACTGAAGCACACTGAAACATGCTGAAATACGCCGAAGCATGCTGATACACGCTGAAGCACCCTGAAACACGCTGAGGTACATTGGAACAAGATGAAGTACGCTGGAACACGCTGAAACACCCTGAAACACGCTGAAACACATTGAAATCGCTGACATATGGTGAGTATGTTGTTGACATAGGCTCATCCGTGATCCATCAGTTCCAGGTCAGTTATCTGATGGCTGACATCCGTTCAGTGTCAGTTCCTCATCAGTCGTGGCGTCTAGCTGATCCTAAACCTCTGAGTAACTT